GTCGTCTACTATTTCTTGTTTTGCTGTTTTTATTCATCCATCGGCCCCTTTCCTTGCTTCTTTAGCCTGTTCATTCTCTCGTTCAGTTCTTTCGCTCTTTGCTTTCCCGCGACCAGTCTTTGATTCTTCAGTGCGTAGAGGAGCAGGCGCTAATTTTTCAAACAATAACTAACGATCGAGTTAATTTCGTATTTGCTTCTATCACAAGGGGTTTCGTCACTTGTTCCTCAAACTAAATAACTGCTCAAAATTTATCATTCCTATCCACTGCGAAAGGGTATTGCCAATACAATTTTCAGTAGTTACTACAAACTTAACCAACACAAATCCACCCTCCATCTAGATTTGCCCTGTACCAGACCTTCCTATATTTCCCTAATTGCGATTCCATCGACTTTTAGTCGCGTTCTCCATTTTTCGCGATGAGATTTTCCAGATAAAAGAGATTCCCCTCGACGTTAAGATCATACAAAAATAATTAGCGGCTTAAGATCCCGTGTATTGAAGTCAAGAGCGAAGGTGCAGATATGATATTTTTAAGAAAACGGTTATTCCCGAAGTTGTCCGTTACTAGCAATGGACAACTCTCCACTTTATGGCAATACGATGCTCATAGAAAACAAACAACAAAATACATTGGAGTCGTGGCTATCTTCCTTTGATGTTTTACATAAAACGGAGATTTAGAAACGGATGCATTGCTCGAATGAAATAGATAAAAAATTAATAAAATCGAGATAGCAATATTCACACCGCGGTTTGCTTGCGTTTGTTTTTTACATACCATAAGTGGATTTAACCACAGAGAGTGACATGCGCAACCTATTTACTGGACTGATAACACTGAAGAACACTCACTGCGTCTCTCGGCGAAAAAGCAGTGTATAGCGTGATTTAAGTGAGACTGTAAATACTGAACAGGTATGTGATAATTATGTTTTAATGCTTTTAAAGAAAATAATAATTAACAAATGGTAAACACCACAGCGTACACTATTGAGTTATGGATGCACGCGGGAGGTTTGCTAAGCACGAAAGAAGCGTAAGGGTCGCGCGAGGCGATAGCCGAGAGCGACTCTAGCTTCTTGAGTGCTTAGCAAACCTCCCAAGTGCATCCATAACTCAATAGTGTACGCTGTGGNCAACCCACCCCAGGGAGGACATCCATCACACAGTAATCTCGTGCGTGGGAAATTAACGTCTCCTACCCCAACCCTGCAGGAGACGGGACCTCCATTTATTCGTCCCTATCCGAGAAGACTAGAATATCTAACCATTTCTTGATGTTAAAGAAAGGAAGCATATTCTTCTCAATTAATTTTAAGACCCTGAGTGTTGGTCCGGCCGGTATTGAACTCTCGACCTCCCGCACAGCAGTCCGGCGCTCTCCCAATTGAGCTAACCAGGCGGCGGGTTTTTCTTGGTATTATTCAAGAGTCCTTGAGAAGCATCGCCATTTTGACACAAACAAGCAGAGTTGTTTTAGTCAAACTTTTACAAGGAAAACGAATGTTAACAAATTTATTCGTCTATGAGAATTCAATTTTTTGTAAAAATTAATTTTTTCATAATTACACATATGAACCTTGTCGAGGAGGTGAAGATCTTCAAGCAGTTCCTACAGACTAGACAATAGGAAACTTAGGACTGAGGAAAATTCGGCTTGTCCCGTATAAATTCCGTCAATGAAATACATTCCCGCGTCCAGTCTTTGATCCTTCAGTGCGGAGAGAAATAGGGGCTCATTTTCCAGAGAGGGACTAACAATCGAACTCAATTTCTTTTTCTCTTCATATTATAAGGGGTTTCGTACTTGTTCCTCAAACTGAACTCTTGCTCCAAATTTATTATTGCTATACAATTTTCAGCAATTACTACAAACGCAACCAACAAAGCCCATCTCCCATCTAGATTTTTCTTATACCAGACCTTCTTATATTTTCCTAATTGCGATTCCACCGACTTTCAGTCGCGTTCTCAATTTTTGGCGATGAGATTTCCTAGACAAAAGAGATTTCCGTCGATATTAAGATCAATGCAAAATAATTAGCGGTTTAAGACCCCTTGTATTGAAGTCAAGAGCAAAGTTGCATAATTATATGATATTTTTAAGATAACGGTTATCACCGAAGTTTCGATATCAGGAACGGACAGCTCTCCATTTCATGGCAATACACTGCTGCATTGAAAACAAACAACATAGTACATCGGATTTGTGGCTATCTTCCTTTGATGTGTTACATCTAACAGAGATTTAGAAACGTATGCATTACTGGAATGAAATAAAAAGAAAATAAGTAAATTTGAAATAGCAATATTCACACTTAATTCTTTCACAGAAAGTAATTGATAATTCCCTCTCTCGACCGCTTTCGGGTTGAATACATTGGTAAATATGTATACAAGATATGGTTGAAACGTTATTTTCGATCATTTACGTATTTTTACGCTGCTTAGAAAAACACATCAATCTTCTTTTAATGTCGTATTTCAAGCTTCATGAAAATACAATAGTTTTTCTTGGTATTATTCAAGAGTCCTTGAGAAGCATCACTATTTGGACACATTCAGGAAGAGTTGTCATTCAAACTGGTCACAAGGAAAACAACTGTTATCAATTTAATTCGTTTGTGAGAATTCAGTGTTTTGTAAAAATTAACTTTTTTATGATCACATATTTGGACCATGTCTATGAGGTGAAGAGCTTCAAGCAGTCCCTCGAGACTAGAAAATAGGAAGTGCTAGCGCGAGGAAAATTCGGGTTCTCTTATATACATTCCGTCACTAAAAGAGATTCACGACAGTTGAAGTGCTTTGGGGTTGAATGGCCACAGCTGAAGTATGTTTTCGAATTTTGCCACGGATGAAGCGGGAACTCAATAAAGTGGAATAATAGATGATTTGGCGACATGGAATATCTTCTGAAATAATCTGAGTTTCTAACTTTTGGCTTTTATAACTTATCAATATTATTAAATGCGAAAAACAACTTGAATGTTCGGAAATAACATAAATAATTGCCGACAATAGAGTGACACTTTCATTACTTACACATTTTAGTAGTTTAGTTAGAAGTTACACATTTCACAAAGAAAACGCCCCCACTAACGAAAAATAGAGCCAAAGCCGGTACCATTATGGTTTTCAAGTACTGTGCAACTATACAAGCTAAGGGGCCGGCCATTTGACTTTTGAGGGGAGGGGATGTGGGATTTCTGGTCATCAAGAAACTTTTTCCTAGCAATCTGTTGTGCTGGATATTTTTTTCCGTTCTAAATGCCCCTTTTTTTTCTGTTACATTTGCGCTGCATGCAATTTTTTTCTTCCAACAAGCGCTTGCAGGAAATTTGTTTTCAAAATCACCCACCCCCCCTCCCGCTCAAGAGCTGAATGGTCGGCCTTTTAAGAAGTTCCTCTGTAATAGTTCTTTAGTCTGGTCACGAAAGGCTCTCTCTCACGGGATAGAGCCAATTGCGTGACCAGACCAAAGAGTGACGAACAATTTTCAAAAATGTAAAACATGAATTTATCATTTATATGCAAAAAAAAAGTTAATCGTCGTCTTGAATTTCTTTTTATACCAGAAGACAATGAGATATGTTGATGGAAAATCGAGTTTTTATCCTGAACCGACGCAAGATCGTGTTCTGGTGCCATTAAAAGTTTCAACTGCAAGGGACTTCATATTATTGAGGATATAGAGTCGATGTGTGTTTTGGATCTCCTAAGACTTAAATAAAAACCTGAAGGCATTGGATTTTTAAGAAACTCAAGTCGCACCCAATGAGTCATTTTCCTGCAGTACATACGTACCGTACATTGGATGATTTGTTGGTTTAATCCCCAGAGTTTCCTATATTGTTTCTTCGCCATCCAAGCGGAAACATTCTGAAGTAAACCGCTCATTCTATAAAGCCAACATATATAATGTATAATGCGTAGTAATTTGTCGGAGAGAATATTCACCCCATAAATTTACTTTCTCCAAACAACAATATATAGCCGGTGAGTTAATACAGCATCGATTTTGGTTAATTTGCTCACCTGACATGACATTTCGGCCGACAGCTGGTTGCCAACGTACTTTCAAGAGCGCAAATTTGCGATACCTGAAAGAATCATTAAAGAAATTACACAAACAGCTCTCTAACGTTCTCAACTGATATCAGGAAATATCATGTTTACTTGAGCTAAATTTGCCGTGAGGCCTTTTTGCGTTTCAGCACAAATCAGTCATCCCTGAATTTCACAATTAACAAATCAACCGCAATTATGGTTGACTTAATAGGACAGATTTCATTTGTTCGTGTGATAGCCTCAAGGAAATTTTTTGTTTCTACCAGGAGGTCTTTAATCAGCTTCTAAAATTACGTTAAACCTGTAATTAGTTTTGAGGTTGTCACTTTAAACTTTAACCACTTGGACCCCGCATTTACGCAAATGCATAAAAATTAATTCGAAAGTTGAAATTTTGCCTGTCTTAATAATATCGAGGTTACAATTCTCTTCTGTAAAGCTTTTAATTTTTTCTCGAACTCCTAAAAAACTGACATTGTGTTGGACTCGTTGGGTCACATGATTCTCTGAAAGCAAGGAAATCAAAATGGGGAATGTCGAGTCGAAATTGTTCTGTTTTTATGCTTGAAAAGTTTATCAACGAATATCATTTTGCATAAAAAGGAACTTCCGATATTATCTGAACGTCTTTACACACTTAAATCATGTGACATCTACCATAACTAAAAATTTTTGGACCGCAAAAGCAAGGGAAGCTTCAAACAACCGGTCTTTTTTATTTTCATCGCCAGCCGCGCGTTCAAAACCACTAGGCCACACCACCGCAATACGTATTTTTTTCATTCCATAATTATATGGAACCTATTCGTCGGCTTGCTTTAAGATACGAGCCTGGTCGAACTATATCATCTCTTAATTATGACGTACATTCTTTTAAACTTCAAAATAGTTCTTTCTGAACATCAGATCAAGTGGTCAGAGCTTTGGAATAGAGATCTTTTCAAAAGAAGTAATTAATCATTTCACTTGGTGGATTTTTCCGGGAGTTTCACTGTTTTGTCGTTGACGCAAACGGTTTTTTTTACAACGCTGTTATGGCAAAGACAACTAGACTGGACGTTTTGTGGCGATTTTTAAAACGAATGACAGACTGAAGAATTTCCATGGTGAGTTACAAGTAAATATCGCGTAGAAATTCTCCTTCATAGATTTGTCTCGGAGCAATTGTACAAGATCCCTGATAGTTAAAAGATCGTAGCTGTCCTGTCCTCTTCTCAAATTCGGTTATTTAGCGTACGACTTTGAAGTTGAAAAGGTATTTTTTCCGTTGCCAACCGCAAAAACCTTCGAGAATGATAACACTCGTGATTTGCCACAAATATTATTTTTCGCTTTTTGCTGTCACCCTGGGAGAATTAACCTTATTAAACGTAAAATGATGATTCTCGTCAAAGACTATTACTTGAATTTTTTTCTCTTCTGTTTAGATACCAGCACTATGAAAATTGCTGACAACTTCCCGCCATTAAAAAGTCCTGTAGAGACAGTTGACGCCGAAAACAGGACTCACCATTTACAATGGGGTAAGCGAGTGTTTTGGCGTCTTAACCACAAGAAATCACAAATCAGTCATTGTTAAGTTGAGCGTTCGGAAAACAAAGTCATTTTCGAAACGAAAACCTGAGAGTCAAAATATAAAGAAAAATAGCTATTATTTTTAGAATCTGACTGTGTGAATTTTAAAAGCTTAGTTACGTAACTGAAAGTCGGCATAAATGGCGGGAGTTTGAAGAACAGTACCAGTAAATCCGGAACTTTACAGGAAGTACTAATGCCTAAAGACGTTGGCGATCTAGACGTGGAATGAATAAGTTCTAGTCCTGTTTTCGCAAGAACCTAACACCGATAACCAACCTCTGTTAATGGTTGCAGTGAATTTTTTTGTTTCGTTTTTTTTTTTTTTTTTTTTTTACAAGTGCTGTCACGATTTAAGCGATAGATCCCGTATATAGAAGAAAACACTTATGTGCATTATTTTAATTTGATTTTCATCGGGAAACTTTCTAGCTAATATCAATGCCCAGAGATGTCCAATATTCCAATATCAAACTTTACAATCTCTCTTCTCTTCACAGCGAAGGGAAAAACACGAATAACTTACCTGACTTAAACTTGTTCCTATATCCGGTCAACAGAACATAACAAAACATTTTATAGTGAGTTTAATTCTCCTCGAGGTGTTAAAAATATTTCATACAGTGTTTCCGATATTAATGGAGCTGAAATTCTTTATTTGCAAGCACCTCGTTTAAAATATGGCCTTAATCATTATTAAATTGATTGGAAGATGGGCGTACATGGAAAGTAAGCAAAGAGATTTTCTCCAGCGAGAAGCGAAACAGAAAGCCCGGCCTAACATCTTTGCGTTAGACTCTACATAAGGGGCAATAAGGTACCTCTCGAGTTGAAAAAATAATTTGATAAAATCACTTATGATATCAAATCTAAACCAATAATCAAACCAACATTCTTTGAAACTTTTTTTTTAGCCATACATAACCGTCAGCGTCTGTAGGGGGATTATGCTTAGGAAGCTGCACCCCTTGTTATTAAGAGTGACACTGAAAGATATATCCTCTTTTCTTTATCTCTGAAACGAGCTAGGGTCTGTGGACGTCTCGTCGCCAGCTAATATTCAACTCTCGTCTATTTGAGCTGAAGAGTTTCCTCTAATCTCCTCACTATGTAAAAAAAATGTAGAAAAATTAGCTTGATGATGAAAGACCTCGCAACGTTTAAATAACTTTCCATTTACAGTTTCCTCACGATGTCTAATTTACTTTGACTGTTTTCGTTTTTGCATGTCAGTGTATAGACATCGAAATTTTGAGAACTTAAGAAAACAAATTTGTAGTATTCTCCTAATTGCTTTTGTTATGACAGCTTAATTTTTTTTTTTAGCTCGGCATTTCAAGCAGGTTCCACGAACTTTTTAATGACCCTTCCTGATTGACCTAATTTTCATCCAGATGCGATAAATATCGACTTTGGACGCATATACTGCATCAACTTGATATTGTTGAAACCCTCTGATTGTTCATTGTTCTAAAGTAACTCTTCAACCCTGACGGAGACCTGCCAGGAAAACATCAATTAAAAGGAATAAACTAAGTTTACTTGTCCTAAAATTTCGCGAGTGCCTTGAAGTGTTTACCGTCTCAGACGGTGCCAGCCGAGATCTCCTCTTTAGCTCACATCTTAAAGAAGCTTCGAGTACAATTTCAGTAGGGACTAGAGCAATATCAAATTTTTATATGCTCTCCTGTTGTTGAACTAGGTTAAATTTGGCAAAGGAAGAATTTTTGCAAAGAATGCTGATTAATAGGGACGTCAAAATCAGGGAGACATGCCAAGTGTACTTTTTGAGCGGGTTTCCGTAAACAGGGGCTAAACAGGCGTAGAACTATGTTTCCACTATTGATTGATAGCTCTCGTTGTCTTGGAAAAATCACCGCCATTTGTATTGTTGGGTTTTATGCTGTCGCCCTGTGAAAAGAATGAAATCTTTGTTGTTTGGATAACTTCAGAAGCACTAAGTATTTGAAACTACCAGCACCTGAAAATGCTCTCTTTCGCGGCGAGAAACTTTATTTTTGCAAACATGAGTTTTAAATTCTGGTCGCTATTTCAGAGAGGGGTCTAAACAGGGGGAAAAGAAACGTCTGGTAAAATCTAGGACGTTAAAGAACCCACTCACGAGATTACTGTGATGTGGTCTGGCCTGTTTACTGGGAATTTCGGGGGAGGGGGCATCTTCAAATAAGTTTCCCTCGATTGTTTGTAAACTGCTGATGCAGTCCGGCCAAGGTCCCCCGAAAAGTGTTGTGATGCGCATTTGATCATATCTTCATGTTAATTTGCGCAATATAAATATTAAAATATTATTATTATTATTATTATTATTATTATTATTAGTTCTACCAACAAATTTTAATTTACGCCGCATACTTTTTCTTCACAGCTTTCATTCTCGCAGTTGTTGGAGGTGGGTTGCTGTTCAGCATTGTCGTTGTTTTCTTCGTTTGGCGAACGCGTGCCCGGTGTAAAAATTGCCCCAATGAGAACAACAACCTGCCCGAGAGGACAATATCACGCGTGTCTTTCAAAATCCCACAGCCTAAAATTGAACCGATCCTCATTCCCACGCAGTCACGATATCCACAGAAAGAAAATGACGAGTTTGAACCACTCCTGGATCCTGAGATTTACAGGTAACAACTATATTTCAGTGTGAAAACATGTTCTCTACATCCGTCAGCGTAGCAAACAAACGTGGTTCTTATGATATCCGGGACTATCTATCAAAGTCTGTAAGGTCAATAAAAACCTCGGGTTTGTCTCGCACCCAATCATTTGTAGCAAAACGTTTTACGTTACTTTGTCAAAATGGAGACAAGTCGTGTCACGAGAAGGTTTTACCTTGAAAGTCAAGTCACGCGACGCGATGTCACGCGATGCTATGCATTTATTCTAGCGTTGATATCCAGCTTAGTGTATCCAAGATATATCATGTCTAGTCACTTTGCGTGACGCAATGAGGTGCGATATCATTTTTGTCTTGTCAAGTCGTGCTGTTTTACGTCAATTGATGTCATGTAATGTTGTCCAAAGTCATAGAATGTTATGGTTTGGTGTCGTACTGTATCTTAATGTGCCATGTCTATCGTATTTTAGTATATATCCCACAAATGAATAGTGCTTTTTGAGAGCGCTGATTGACTAGTTCGAAAGTGAATAGCAAGTACTATTTACCTTCGAGAAACCGATCAGACAAAATCGGACGTCAAGAGTTTTTGAATAAGTATTTTGTATCTGTGTGGTATATACTAAAACAAGCGTTCACCTCGGTAAATATCCATCATTATTCACCCCCACTTCGGTGAAAACTTTTTAGATGTGGAAGCAAATGATTGATCGGGACCTTAAAACACTTTGAGAAGCAATACGACCACTATTTATCCGGGAACTGAGTGGCGTATTCTTCGTGTGAAACTCGGGTGGACATTTTGAGCAACGACGTCACGATTCCCACCTTTGTGCACCGGGTATTTGGTTCGTATTAATATCCAGTACTTGCATTAAAGCCAGCTTTTCAATCTTCACCAATTATATTAATTTTCCGTATAATAAAAAGAAAATTACAGGTTAGCTCTATGATATGAATTTTATGTTCTCGTGGCAAGAGCAATATCCCGCTCGGTCGCTGTGCTTACTCATGAGATATTGTTCTTGCCACTCGAACATAACATTCATATCTTCTCGCCACCATGTGATATCCTCTATATATGGTATTATATCAGGCATTTCATATTATCTTGTCATTTCCTACATTTCGTATTAACTGACCTTCTGTAAGGCTTTCTTTATTGATTTTTCGTGTTTTTCTTTTCTTTCTTTCTTTTTCGTGTTTTTCTTCTTCAGAGAAGAAGTCACGGAGGAAGGATCCCCATTCCAGGGCTCAGCTAGACTCTCTTTCTCTTTATGTTACGACAAATTCAGCGAGGAGCTCAAAGTCTGCCTCATTCGAGCCACTCGTCTGACACCAATCGGAGAAAACGTCACGGTTACACCATATGTAAAGATATTTCTTCTTCCAGACAAGAAGCGAAAGGCCCAGTCAAGAGTGTTGCGCAGGACATCCAACCCACAGTTCCATGAAGATTTTGTGTTTATGGTTTCACCTGTAGATTTACCAAACAGAACTCTGGAGTTTACAGTTTGTGAATTCGATCGATTTTCCCGCCAGCAGGTTATCGGTCACGTGAGATATCCTTTAAGAGGTGTGAATGACTTGAACTCAGTACAAGGGACGGGAGAGATCTGGGTTGATATCAACAACGAGGATCTGAAGGTTTGTTAGTAATGCGATTGAACCGACTGAGCTCATAATGCGTCGATAAATTCGAAGGTTTATTAGACACCTCCAGAAACCCCTTGGGCATTTGAGATTTTAAAGATTGGTTCGTTCTAGCCCGCAGAACAGGCGTTTTTTTTCAATCGAACGGAGGCAAGTGCGAGGTGGCGCGATGGGCACGTCATGCACGAAGGGGGAGCGTAATTTTTTTTGCGTTTCTTCCCTCGCGCGTGAATCGCGCTTTGCACTCGCCTAATGCTTGTCTCCGTTCGCCAACCTCGTTTCTCCACCCCAACCAAGGGAAAAGGCCCTGTCAACGAGGTTGTCCGTTCACCTGTAAAACACTAGCAATTACGCCTGTTCTACAAGTTAGGTTCGTTCAAATTCCCCCCTGGGCCAAAACTGTGTTTAAATAGCCTACCCAAGTGCCGCATTTGATGATGGATTTTTTTAAAAAACTTCCATGACCGAGACTTTATACTCATTGACTAGCAATTTGTTTTGACAATCAAGCTTAAAACTTAGAACTTGTAGACCTTTTCATCTGAGCCATACACTCTCCAAAGTGAACTATTTACCATTAAACACATCTGTATCAAAAGATGGAACAGACATGTTCCGCCGGAGAGATTTCACACTAACGGTTCAAATTTCCAACCCACCCAGGCAAGGTTGAAATTCCCACTGCCCGGGCGCGGACGACGGTCAAATGCCTCTGGGTTATCCGGGGGGATGTTGAGGCTTTGAATTGATCGGCGCATAAATGACGATTTTTCCACGTGTGTTGATTATAACGGACGAGTACCAATTTGGACTTCTGACCGTGTCTTTGGCAAACACTTCAGATCGTCCAGTGCTGAGTGAAAATAAGAAATTATTGAATTTTTTCACGTTTGTCACCTCTTTAAAAAATACGAAGTTTTACGAGTCATAGTCTAACCTCGAGCCCAGATCTTGCTCGCGTGTTTGAAATGGCCTTGGAGGTCTGGGTAAGATCCTTGTCATTGTTAATACTAAATATCCTAATATCAATATGTAGCTTTTCCACACTGTATTCTATACATTTTATAAGGTAGTTACAAGGATAACTTGTTTGAAAATCAAGAGTTTTTCAAATTGGTGATCATTTCCTTTAATCCATAACCTTCATATATAGTTTAGGGGTGATACTGTAAAGAGAAAGTATGGGTCTCAGTTTCAACCATTTCGTGAACAGGGAGGGGGGGTACAGTGCGCTTAAAACACTTTATTCGATTCCTCAATTCCTATACATTTCACCCTAAGTCAATGAAAGAACCACTTCTCGTGACAGGAGAAAAAATGCACATCCTGCAATGCAATCACTCTGCGTACTTTGCATGGAAAGTCATTCCTGAAAAAAAAAAAACAAAAACAAAAACAAAACCCTATATCAACTCGTTAAGTATCAATAACTCGAGAGCCATGACGAGCAAGAAACATGCATGAACTTCCCATAGAGTTAACTAGTTTGTTTATGATGTGAGAAATCATTTGGTACTTTTTGTTTCTCTTACAGAGTGGAGTGGATAAAGGAGAACTTTTATTTTCTCTGCAGTTTTTACCTACCTCGTGTAGACTTACAGTAGCTGTGCTCAAAGCTAAAGAGTTGAAATTAAACGGAGAAGACACAGATTTGGGTAAGTTCTGTGTCGATGGTCCGTAAATATAGGTTGAAACAAAGTGTTTATTTCACCAATACGCAAAACTGACCAATCATGACTCACCTGGAGTCTTACAGCCAATAACATCACGGTTAAACTTACCAATCAGTTTTCACACCCAGACTTACAGGACTCAATTGATAAACAACTCCTCGCTTCACTATTATGATGACTTATGTCAAAAGAACCAACAAGAAAAATGTGACATTACGCACTTACTCACTAGACAAATGCAGTGTTTCCGGATTATTGCAGCATTGGCTCACGGGTAGACATAAACAAATTCGGTGTCACAATCTGTGCAGCCTTGTACCCACCCCTCCCCAGACATGAAAAAATTCGGATCGGTGTCACTATCTGAGCTACCTTGCACCCACCCCTCCCATAACCCAACATTTATCATAACTTGATATCAGGTTACTGTTGTTGGGTTAGGGAGGGGTGGGTACAAGGTTTCTCAGATACCGATGTTGATTCAAAAATTAAACCATGAAACTTTTAATGTCTCCTTGCAAGCCGACGGTGCAAAAATCCAAGAATGTTTGCATTGTTTGAGAACGGTTTCATAGCTACATTGTGAATCCGCCGTGTCAGAGCTACGTTCGCTCGACTCCTGTAGTTTTGCGTTCGAGCATACGTAGCTCCGAAGCTGTTGGTTGTCTTTGTGAAAAACGGCACACTGATGGGAAATGATATTCATTTTCAGATCCGTATGTCCAAGTGTCTATGATAATGGGAGGAAAATCTGTGAAAAAACGCAAAACAATCGTTAAGAAGAGAACTGTGTTTCCGATTTACAACGAAGCATTTGTTTTCTCCATTCTCCCGTCTTGCCTCGATCGTGTGAGCTTCATGTTATCGGTTTACACCGTACCGAGGCTTGGAGGATCCAAGAAGCTAATTGGCCGAGCAGTTGTGGGGCCGTACATGTATTCAACTGGTCAAGGGCTGTCTCACTGGAATGACATGATCGCTTCACCTCGAAACCCGGTAGCACAATGGCATACGCTCATATGAGATGTATATAAATGAATACTCATCATCTTTTTGTGCGCAAGCGTGCGCGAATTCAGAATGAACTCAGTGTTTTAGAGTAAACAGGTTTTAGACTGCAAATATATGACCGAAGCACAGTCTTGATATTTATTCAGTACTGGAAATAGTCTCTTCCAATTTCAATAAATTTTGTAAAAAAGTCAAAGGGATTAAAGCGGCAAACTTACCAACGAAAAGAACAGGAAAGAATTGAAAAAAGAAAAAATGAATAAAAATGTTCGCCAGAAGGTGGTCTTTCCTCTTGTCCTACAGTGTTGTTTCCCTTGAAAGTGCAAAGAACAGGTTCAGATTTTGATAAGTCATTCTTGGTATATTTTCAGCTTTAAAATCGCAAGGTGAAATAAAATATGAGAACACTTTGAAAAGATTTAAATATTAAAGTCGAAACGCATGTTTACGCTAAACATTTTTAAATAGAAACATCTTAATACTCTTACTGGGCAATTTAATTTGTAGAGATTTCCTCTGTAAATTTTTCAGATACGTTGTACATACTCAAGGTGATGTGTTCAACAAGCACATTAAAATGTTTTCGTTAAAGTTTTCGGGGATCAGTTTGGTCGTATTTTCTGGACAATTTTAGATACTACAATTTTAAATGGCACCCAGATTTTCCGCTCAAATCCCTGAAAAAAGTCTTAGGATATACAATTTTATGACCGTCAACTGGTTGTGTAATTTCACCATGAGAAAACTCTTCAGTACGAATTGTTTCATTATTGATGTAAATTAAATAGATGATATATTCTACAATGATACACTTAATTTATTTGTATTTAAGGGAATAAATCTACTTTAAAGACCAATCATTTTGGTTTAATTCAAATTCACTCAAAGGTAACACGGCTAAGACCTTAAAGGGCTGCTGCAGAAATGTGAAGAAGTGATGAAAGGAGGAGGGGCTGAAAAATAATGGGAGAGAACAGTATCATCCATCATCGATAACACATATGGTTACAGAATAAGGAAGACAATCCAAGAAAAATTATCCCTTACTAATCCCCTCATCTAAAGTCACCCACGCTTTTTGTAAGTAACTGGCCATGATCATTCCAGTGCAGTTCACACCATAGGACTAGGGCTTCAAGGTTTCTTCAAAGTTTCCGATTTCGAAAATATCTTGGCCACTTGACCCTTTAACTCCTAGAAGTGATGAAAATGAAACTTCTCCCTATAATATCCTTAAATTATCCACCAAACAGGTAATGAGAGTACTCAAATGTATCAGGTAGATATGTAGTCATCCTAACCTAACACCTGGAGGGGAAAATGAACAATCAGATCTCTTCATTTTATCACATTATAAACTCCTGGCTTATCATTTTTGGGCATTTTGGTCATGTTTGTGACAAATTGCTGCCAAGCCTTGCCTACTCCTACACAGTAAACCACCTTAATCAATTTTCCAAAAAGATAAGGCACTTTACCGAATAAGCAGATCAGAATGCTTTATCCCAGTTTTTAGTTATATAACCTCTAGATCTGCATGCACAAAATAAATATTAATGATCTAATAATTGATAATATACATTGATAATCATGATGAACAACACTCTTTAATATTTTATGAAAGACTCCCAATATCTTAAAAGAAAATGGGATATTTTACATGTTTTTGGCATGATAAACATGACTGTAGGTTTGCACGAATATCTGTCTTGGTAATATCTTAAAGCAGTGTGAATTATGTTTAAAAGGTTTTCTTGAGTTGTGATCTTATAACCGCCATATCAAAACTTTACATGCTCTAGAAGAAGTGCAATTACACCAGCTGTCAAACTCCTTACATCCCACTATCCAACTAGTAATTCTCATTTTAAGCTCCCACACATTTGCAGCTAAACAGCAAGAAGAATTTGGTGTTATGTCAAATTTTCCTGACATTTTTCTGAGACATTCTTCTCAGTTGTCAGCTTGGTTATTACAGCAATTCAAGACACATTTAGGAAAAGCAAAAATCACTGAGTCAAAGGGAAAGAAGAATAAAAGGTCTAACAGCAAATACTGAGGTAGAGAAAGATGTTTTTCATCTTAATTGTCATGAGTGTGGGACAAAGAAACAATTCTGAATTGCCGTGAGGAATTGAACCTCTGACCTTCAGATCCCACGCTCTGATGCTCTACCACTGAGTCACAGAGACTCTAAGGTAAGCAAGGTCATTACAAAGTTCTTATGTGACATGCGTCCTGCATACTGCAAGGATCAGCAATTTTGATAGTATCATGTTTAAAAAGCCAATGATGAAGATGGTAAATTTTGAGCTTGGTAAATGCTGAAATAGTCAGACATCACGCACACTACAGTTGTGTGGCAAAATTTAATCTTAAACCCTAAGTCATCACAGAACAATTGCAAAGTTGTTATGGTTTCCACCTTTCCTTAAGACCCTCTTTGGGAACGATTTCACCTGAGCATGGCCAGTTTTCCTGAACATATAGAAACTCAATTTTCTGCTCTTATGGCAGGCACACACTTTAAACCCAAGACTTTCCATCATGGATACAAAAAGATCATCATTTAAGTAGCGAGAATTGTTCAAACAAGGAAGAGGGAGAACAATAAACAAATATCCTTGATCTACTATGAGCTCTTGACATTTTCGAAGCATTTTCCCTCGCCTGTGGACGTCACCTTCGAAGTTGATCACCAAACTTAAAACAACAACATCATATAGGTTGTTGCCTTTAAATTTCAAAAAGTCTGCCTTAACCACTACGTCGCTCTGTGGATTTAGATCAATAGGTGTGCACTGAATCCATTTTTGGTGCTTTTTGTAGTTGTTGTCGAGAGCACCAACATCAAGTAACCTTAGTCCTTCTGTAGCTTCAGTTGGGTCAGGTTTTACTTTACAAACATCCAAATCTCTCATTTGCTTTAGTATCCATTTTGCTGAGTTAAAACTACCATGCCGAGCCTCTCCAAGTTTCGATGCCTTTTGATAAGCATTTATACCACCAAGCTTTTCTTTTTTCGCTTCGAGAGCCGCAATTTGAGTTGGCCTGTCTTTTATTTGAATTAAGGTATTCCTTCGTAAAGAGTCAATTTTCTTGTTCAAAGCATGAAATTCATTTATAATTCTCCGGTCTTTTCTTGAGTTGATCTCCACTACAGGCTTCTTTGGTGTCTTCCTTTTTTTCCTAACTTTTGATTTTTTCTCAGGACGCTCTGTTTCGCAGTGTTTGGTGACTTTGGTTGAGACGAAAGAATCAGCGCTGGTAATGTCCGCCATATTTGATGAGGAAAGCCAGGCTACTAAGCGAGTCACTGACTCGTTTTCGTTCTCTTTAATGTCTACCTGAGCAAAATGGTGAGTTCGAATGAAGTGAGAGAAGTAATCCTCTCAATACTGATGCATCCGTCCATATCTTTTCTTTATTACGGTATCTAATCCATAAATAAATACCCATGAAACAAATCTGGAGTTCCTTTTTGAATTTCTAGCGTGAAAACATTATTTACAGCGTTGTTGAAGTTTACTAACATCATTTTTCTGAGATGCTGAACACACAAGTGGTACAGCCCCAAACGTTGCCATTTTTCTCTCAGTCGTAATGTAACTCCATATTTATGCTTATGAGTCCAAGCGAACTGCAAAAAAATTGTCATAGGGAAAGAATCAATGTAATTGTGAATAAAACAGATGAACAGTCCATGTTTTTGTATGTCACAGAGCGACGGTACAGCGACTATTAGGACGAGAAAGTTCCTCACCAACCGCCTGCTTCAAAGGAAGCAAATGGTAATTCATAGTCTTAAAGTTATTCTGTAGTACTTTTTTTGTGGCTCTAATGTGGCTGCGGCATTAGAATCCTTAGATAAGATCCAGGGAAAATATATCCTCATGTATTAGAAGATCTGATTTGTACTCGACTTGTCTTTGGCTCGTTATCGTGGATTTTTAAATTTTAGAGATGATCACAGTACGCTTTTAGGTCGATTTGCTTGGTTATATGAATGAATCTTTTGAGTTATAATTTGCAAGCTTGCCTTTGATTTTTTAGCACCAAAAGAGAATAGGTTGTCAACCATACTTGTTTTGTAGTTGGACCCTGATAAAATGAACGCGTTGTACTACTCTCTTTTAACAGTGCCATTCTCTGACCCATTGTAATAAGTATGCGTTATTAGCCAAGAGTGAGGTCAAGATATTGGCAGTGTTCTTTTTTTACATTTTTATGGATTGAGATGAAGTCAAGATCCATAAAAATACAAAAAAAGGAGGCTAATATCCAGCTATCTTGACCGAACAAGCTTGGTTAATAAAGGATTTATTATATTGCAAGAAGATTTCACTTTATTAAGAATTAAGAGTGACTTCTTCACTTTAAGAGCTGGGAAAGAAAGTCAACTGTTTGTAGCACAACAAACTCATGAGAGTTGTTTGTTTCCCTTTTTTGACTATATTCTGGTACTTTTTGATGAACTTAGTTCTAATACAATTCTTTTATGGGTGGGATCAATGGGCAATCCCGAGCAGGCAAGATAGGCCTATCTTCTGTTTGACAATCAAGAACCTCTTTATATGGTGATCCTTTTCTTTTACTCTCAATGACCATAATGATCATTTCATTTTACTCTCTTGATGGTAATGTTTGATTCAGGGGTGACATTGTACAAAGAAATTAGATGCCAATCTCTCCTAGGTGTTAAGATGTTAACTAAATTTTTTCAGTTAAGAATAGATGCTTCCTTCATTCTCCAAACTGTTTAAAGCATAATTTATTCCTTTGTCATTCACTCTGACAAAGGGCTAACACTCAACACATCAGCTTTGAAACTATATACAATGGCCAATTTTACATCTTCAACTCAGGTGATAGAGCCAAAATTACCTTGTTACTCCCACTAATGCAATACCACAGTTTCTTCAGAAACTTCCCCCCTTTGTTTAGAGCATATCCTTTAGGTATAACTTTTAACAATGTTGAAGTTAAAAAAAAGGTTAAAATGAACTGATTTGTTTGATTCACAGGTGGTAGATATCCTTCACCCCGGAAGACCAAATGTCTCAAAGGCTGAAGTGCGTGAGAAGTTGGCCAAAGTGTATAAAACCACCCCAGATGTTATTTTCTGTTTTGGTTTTAAAACAGCCTATGGTGGTGGCAGGAGCACTGGTTTTGCCTTAATATACGACTCCCTGGATTTTGCAAAGAAGTTTGAACCCAAGTACCGCCTATCTAGAGTGAGTAAAAGTACAAGTTACATGATTAAACTTATTATTGATGTCAGTTGTAAGTGTGGTTTGTACACTTCTGCAAACATTGTGTCTCAGATACAATGAATATATGAAGTTCATATATTTTGAACTGCGGTTATAGATACGTATGATGCATGATCCTTGCAGTAGAGAGTGCTATTTATGCAATAGCGAAAATCAGACCTGAAAAAAATCAGATATATCTGATTATCATCACGGGTTTATTACGAATCAACTTAACGGCCTGCACCCAGTTGGCTTGTTAGTTCAATTGGTAGAACACTGCACTAGTATCGCAGAGGTCAGTGGTTCGAATCCCGTACAGGCCTGACTTTTTTTCAGGTCTGATTTTCGCTATTGCATAAATACCGCTCTCTACTGCGAGGATCGTGCATCATACGTATTGTGTCTCAGTTGTACACAGAGTTATATACTGTCAGTCTCCCGGTTAGCTCAATGGATAGAGCGCTGGACTGTTGTGCGGGAGGTCGA